ACTAGACATGGTGCAAACGGCCCTTAATTGTACAAGTTCCTGTGCTGTAGCGAAAAATGAAGCCAAAAGGCTTCGCCATCCTTTGCTACCAAAATGCGTTTATCATAATTCATACTGCACGGCGAAGCCAGAACACAGAGGTTTAAAATTGGAATTGAATGTTCATAATTCACCGGATCCTTCATTTTTCAACCAATTTTTGCTAAAAACCAAAAAAAAATATTTATTTTGGTGAACATATTTTTATAACATTTCAAATTTTTGTGTAATTTCTTCGTTTTGTGAAAACTATACAATTGTTTTCAACTAGTTTTTGCTATGCAGCATTTATTAGCTGGAACAGGAGAATATATTTTCTTCAAAATTGCTACTTTTTCTGCATTTTACAGTAATAAATTTAATATAATCAAATAAAAATTCACAAATCAGGCTCAACTGGTCTCTTGCAATTATTGTAAGCTTTCATAAAAAAAAATTAATCAAATTAAGTGAAAAGCAAGCGGGCCCATGCGCAGACTGCACAGACAGAAATATACAGTAAACTCATCCCTCTTTGTAGCCATAGATAAAAGCAGACTGTTCTAATAGTTCGCGGAAATAGTAAACAGATTATTCGTATATACCCCTTATTTTTGTTATACATATATTACAAAGCGTGAATGAGATTTATAGTACATCAGAACTTATACTTATTAGCAGAGAACGTTTATAACTGAGAAGGCGCATTTTCTCTGTGAACTAATTTCTGCCAGAAATTTTGGGGTGCAGTCGGCCAAATATACCACACGTCGACGAGTGCACCACTCGACCGACGGTGTCGGTAGAGAAGTGTCGGCTGCCACCATACCAAAAATTTTTCCGTGCCACCACACTTTGAGCAAATTTACCATAGTTCAAAGCAAAATGAAAAAATAAGAACGAAAAAGGAAAGAGGAACAGAAATATAATAAGCACTAGGCAGAGGGGATGCTTGCGGAGGCAGGCGCGTGCTTGTGTCGGATCAAAACAAACTCTAAAATAAAAATGGTAGTCAGAACGACAAGTGT